AACAGACATGTAAACTTGATGAACAATAAGCAGATTCCCAAATATCAGGAGGAAAAAGAGTTACATGCTTGCTCAGGGTTTGTTTGTTTGTTTGTTTGTTTTTAATGGCTACATGTGAGGTAGCTCTTCTCTTTAGCTTTCCCTGAGTGGTTTTAGGCTGGACAGTTCCCTGACACCATGTGGGGGAAATAGCCATCTCCTGGTATCAGTGGACAATAGACTTCTCCCTCAACATCTACTAAATAGTGTGCCTGGATCACGTTATCCTCATCAACTCCACAGCATGTTGGACATAGGAGAGGCTTGATATTTGTTCAACTTCCTTGTTCATGATCATTTCCTTGAAATGATCTTTAGGGAGGATTTCTGTATCTTCATCTGGTTCAGAACCTTAGATAGTGGCATAATTCAGATACTTGAGGAGAATGGAGAATCTTGGAGAGTGGATATTGCTAGGGTAGCACTGAGGAGACTATTATTCCTCAGGCAAGGAGATAAAAGCCTGGATTTCCTAGTGGTCATGGGAATGAAGAGAAGGAATAAGATTATCTTGATAATGACTCATTCTCACTATTAGAGCTTTAAAGCTGGAAAAGACTTTAGAAATCAAAGTATCCACCTTTCTCATTTTACAGATGAGAAAACTGAGGCTCAAAGGAAGAAAACTAATTACTCCAAATTTAATAGACAGTGATGAAAGCAAATAATATCTGGTCTGTTCATTCCAACTTCACTGATTTTCTTTTCTGTATCATACTACTACTAAACTGGGTTCCGGGCAAGGGGAGGAGAAGTGGGGGGAAGAGTTGAGGACGTGTCTGAATCAAGCTTTCATATTCCATTCTAAGCCTATATAAAAGGCTGCCCACAGGATGTCCTTGTGGAACAATTGATCTCAGGAAGCCAAGTGCATTCCTGGACTCCTCATAGCTACCACTGCCTGCTGGTTGCTCTGACCTAAGATCCAGAGAGAGTTCCATTAATTCCATCAATAAATTTAGTATTTTCAGCCCCTTCTTATCTACAAAGAATAACATTCATTCCTCTTCCCTGTCAGACTTCTCATATCCCATTGCTCTCAGGAGCATCTGATTTAGAATCAGAAAATATGGAATTGAATCTTAGTTTTTGTACATAGTACCTTGTGTAACTTTAAGTATGATGTCATGAATGGAGCACTGAGCTGGGAGATAGGAAGAACTGGATTTGAATCTTGTCACAAATCCTCATTAACTCTCAGTAAATCACTAAATTCTTCTGAGTCTCATTTTCCTCACTGGTAAAATCAAAGTAATAATAGCACCTACCTCAGAGGGTTGTTGTAAGGGTCAAATGAGATAACTGATATAAAGCACTTTGCCAACCTTAAATGCTATATGAATGTGAGCTCTAATTATTATTATTGTCTTTTTATCCCTTTGGACTTCAGTTTATCCTTCCATAAAATGAGATATTGACATGAATCATTAGTATTTCTGTATATTACCAATAGAACTCAGCAGGAAGAATTAGAAAAAGAAATTAAATTTGAGATAACCACAGAATGCAGTTATGTTGTATAAATACAAACTGTATAAAATACCAAATGTATAAAATATTCAAGAGTCTATCTACCAAAACACACAAACTTTTAAAATACAAGTACAGAATAGTCTTCTTTTTCTTTTCTTTTTTTTGTCAGAATAGTCTTTACAGAAGTAAAATCAGACAGGTAATTGGAGAAAACTTTAATTGCTCATGATTAGGTCATACCAATATAACAAAAAGTATAATACTGCCCAAATTAGTTTATTTGGTGTTGCATCAATCAGGCTACCAAAAATAACTTTGTAAAGCTAGGAAAAAATAACAAAATTGGGGCAGCTAGGTGGTACAGTGGAGAGAGTGCTGGCCCAGGAGTCAGGAGAACCTGAGTTCAAATCTGGCCTCAGAAACATAGCATTCACTAGCTGTGTGACTCTGGGCAAGTCACTTAACCCCAATTGCCTCACTAAAAAATAAATAAATAAATAACGAAATTCATCTAAAGAAACAAGAGTTCAAGAGTCTCAAGTAAAATGAATGAAAAAAAAAAAACAAGAAAAAACTTAGTAATACCAGATCTCACATTATAAAATGAAGCAATAATCATCAGAACTATTTGGCAATGGTTAGAAAATAGAGAGGTTGATTATGAATAGGTTTGCTACACAGGATACAAAAGCAAATCAACATAGTAGCAACATGTTTGATAAATCCAAAGACCTCAATTCTTGTTTAAGAACTTAACTGTTCTTAAAAAAAAAAGTACTAGAAAAACTAGAAAGCAATCTAGCAAAATTATGTTTAGGCTAATCCCTCACATTATATACTAAAATAAGCTTCCTATGTATGCATGACTTAGATATAAAAGGTTAACATAAACATCATAAATTAGTAGAGCAAGGACAGATATGTCTTTTGTAGTTATGAATAAAGGGACAGAGAGGATCACAAAAGATAAAAAGCACAATTTTTAATTATATAAAATTAAAAGAATATTGCACAAACTCAATGCAAGTAAAATTAGAAGGGAAACCATCCACTTGATCATTTCTCATGGCACAATAGTTGTCCATTACATTCATATAGCATACTTTGTTCAGCCATTTCTTATTTTATGAACATCCTTTGAGTTTTCAGTTCTTTGCTACCACAAAAACAAAAACTGATATGAATTTTTATATCCATAGGGAACCTTTTTTTTTCTTTCTTTGATTTCTTTAAAAGTATAGGCCCAGTAGTTGTATTTTGGGGTCAAACTTAGATGAATCAATGTAGAATAAAGTAAGCAGAACCAGAAGAACAATTTATGCCAAAAAAAACCCCACAGCATTATAAAATCAAACAGCTTTGAAAGATTTAAGAACTCTAATAAACACAATGACTAACCATGCCCCCAGAGGTCCAATCAAGAAAAATACTACCCACCTCCTAACAAAGAGGTGATGAATTAAATATATAGAATCAGACATGAGTCTATTTTTGAGCCTGACCAAAGTAGAAATTTTTTTTGATGGACTGTGTATATTTTTTTTTATTAATGTGCTCTTCCCTGGCAAAGGAAGAGGAGGAGGTAGGAGACAGAGATAAAGAAATGAAAAAAGAGACTGAGACATCCAAAGTATAAAGAGAAAAAGACTAAAAAAAAAGCTTATTAAAAGGCAGATAAATCAACAGAGAGGACCCTAATACTGGAAAGATAATGAGTAAAATCTCAAAGACAATACAAAATTATCTTAACAAATGTTACAACATGCAGGCAAGTGAATAAGTGCCTGTTGAAAGAAAAAATCCTGTAGACTCCCCAGAGAAGATAGAATAACAAGAATTCCAGAATGGCTCAAAAGAGAAATGAAATTCACAAATAAAAAATTAAAAATAAATATAGGTCAGAACTTAGAGCTTTTAACACAAATATTTTTAAAAAATCAATTAGCAGGTTAAAAAATAAATCTGTCTAAAGAAATAAATCAGACATGAATATATTTGGAATAAAAATACTGAAGTAGAGAAAATTTTGTCAAATGAGGAAAAAGAGACAACAATGTAAAAAAAATCATATGAATTCTACATAAGACAGAGTGATTGACCTTGAAGATAAGATACAAAACAATAACTTAAAAAACTTAAGACTCCCAGAAGAACATGGAAACTTTTTTTTTTAAATATGAGTACTGCAATGCAGGAAGTAACATGTGGAAATTAATCAGAATTTCTGAATATGGACAACAAATCTGCTATCAAGAGAATCCACACATCATTGCCTCTGTACCATACATAAACTTAAAGACATGTGATGAGCAAATTTAACAATTTCACAAGTTTATAAGTACTAAGAGAAAGACTTTCAAATATGAAGGAAAGAAAACTTGTATATCACAAGATTATTCCTTATCCATGAGAAATTACACAAAGGAATGTGAGTGTATTCCAGAAGACCAAAGGAGCTCAACTTAAGTGACTTGGTAGTATCCTTTAAATTCATTGAAAAAGGTATCACCTTTTTAAAAAGAGGTCATGTTCTTACTATCATCTGTCATATTGGTTTATTTGTGTGAACCACATTTTAGGAAGCATATTGGTGAGTTGAAGAACATCCAGAATAATGACAGGTCTACTGATTGAGCCTTATGACAATCAGTTGAAGAAACCAGTAATACCTATCCTGAAGAAGAAAAAACTTGAGTGAGGGGGAGGTGATGTGATAGCTCTCTCTAATCAAATATTTGAAGTTCTTTCATGTGGGAAAGGGATTATACTTATTCTGCATAATCCCAGCTATCTAGGAGGTCAGAACCAGAAGTAATGGGCAGAAGTCATTGTAATGCATCATTAGATGTAAAGTGTGAATAACTTCTTGACAAATAGAACTATACAAAAATGAAAATGGTTGTTTTGGAAAGTCTTTGCCTTTCCCCTCATTTGAGATCTTCAAGCAAATGGTAGATTTGTCACGTATGTCAGAATAGATTCTTGGCTAGATAAAGGCCTCTGAAGTTCCTTCCAACTCTAAGACTCTATGATTATGTAACACTATCTTTAACATTTGATGTTCTAATATCTTTTCCAACTTTGACATTCTATATCCCAAAGCTTCTTCTAGCTCAGACATTCTTTGATTCTGGGAGAAGAAGTTATATGGGACTTGACTCTCAGCTATGCCTCTTTCTATAAACAGTAGCTTTCAAACTATGTCCCCTCCACTTCCAATGGAAATAAAAGACTCAGTTATTTGTGTGTTCTGGTTAATTGGTGTTTGGCTGTGCAAGTATGTAGCACAGCTGAGATAAAAAGGTATCTTACTGCAGGGAGTGTTCTTCCAAAGATGTTCCCAATGGATTGAATATATTCAATCTTAGAGGTAAATAGTAAATGCCAAAAACTATAATTCAATGGTCTTTTAATTATATCAGTTGGAAGATTAACTTTTATAATTCTTCCTTATCTCTCACCAACCTCTTTTTTTCCTCCTCTTCAAGGTCTACTTATCAACTGACTTGGGAAAGAAATGGACCCTTCTTCAAGAGCGAGCGACTAAAGACCGTGTTTTCTGGTGAGAATTATTTTTTAGTACAAACCTGAAATGCAAACATGAAGTCACTAATGCTTTTCTTCAACATGTCCCATTTCCCCAGTAAGGGTCCTGAGAACACTGAGTGTCAAGATCCTATGATCTCTCTCATACGGGTCACCCAAGAGAATAAGAGGTGTTTTGGAAAGGTTGGTAAAGGTTATAACTGTCACCTACCTCATGACTCAGAGTCATCATCGCAAAGGACTTTTTTGTCCTCTGTAACCAATATCTCAGGCAGCTTGCTGAGTAGCCCAGTTCAAGAGCCTTCCTTATAGATATACTGTACAAGGGAAGATAAATAGAAGCACTTGGAAAAATCCATCCAGATACTTAGAGTTATACTGGGCTACACATACACACAAAAAGCCCTCTGTCCTTCTTTCTCCTGTCAACACATTCAGCTCTATAACCGTAGCACAAGGACTAGTTTAGGGAACATCAGACCAAAGGTCTGGATTCTCCCATTTTATATGCTGCGTTAAGGTGCCATCAGTGTTGGAGAGATACTGATATGGACCTTTAAGTGCCATATAAATACTTATTGTTATTTTTGATGTTGTTATCATCACTTTAGCATGCTCCTGCTATCCCAAGGACCTTTCCATGATCACTATCAAGAAAGGCTGTGGTAATGTCCTCCATACTAAGGTGCCAACAAGAGATAGTGTGGCATCATGAAAACAACCTTGCAAGATCTAGTTGCATTTCCCTCTCTACTATATACTGAGTAATTTTAGGAAAGTCCCAACCTCTCTGGGCCTGTGTCTACCTCAGTAAAATGAAAGGATGTGAGTAAGATTCCTTCCAACTCTAATATTCTATGGTTCTGTAACTAAACTCTGCAATGCAACATTCCAAGAAGGGAATGGGGTCAACCCTTCTTTCAGATGCTCCAATGGGTGATAGCTTGCAGTTCATCAAAAAAAAAAATTACTTAGCTTTTTTGGACCTTAGTTTTCTCCTCTGCAAATTGATGAGGTTAGAAAAGATGGTCTCCAAGTTTCCTTCTAGCTGTAATTCTTCCAATCAGTAAAAAGAATTCTGGATTTGTATTCAGAAAAACCTTGTTTTTGAATTTCGTCTCAGACCCCTACTACCTGGATGACACTGGGAAAATCACTTGTCCTCTCTAGGCCCCAGTTGCCTCATCTTTAAAATGAGAGGCTTGAACTAGATGACAGAGTTCTAAAGACCCTTCTACCTTTAAATGGATAATCCTATATCTGATAACCTAAACTGCTCCCCTGCCCAAGTGAAATCTGCATTATAGCAGGAATCAGTAAAATGTATCCTTCTGGTGGGTATGACCTTTTCCATTTTTGGTCTTTGCATCCCAAAGACCTAGAAAAATGCCCTTAATAAATATTGTTAAGTTTATCTCAGAATCAAAGCTACCAGATAAAGGAATGTAGTGGTAACCTACCAGATTTCAGGCCTAACCTGATGTGAGGCATCTAGGAAAGAGAGGAGGGGCTGAAATTGTGAATTCTCCCTGAACAAATTGCCCCCTGTTAAACATTAAAACAGATTTCACAGTTGTCTACTAGGTGGACTAGTTAGAATAACAATTATGGCTTTCCCTGGGGACTTTAGTGCTAAGTTGAACACAAACTGAACTTTGGGAAACTTAGAAGAGACTTTTAATTAAGGGCATTTTTAAATGTTCTTGATTCTATTATTCTGCTTCCCAATACATTTAATCTTTTGGGAGCTATTATCAATGTAAGTAAGTAATTTCATAAGATGTCGGATGCTTTCTTCCTGATAGAGTTTCTACAACATTTTCTTATCTAGTTTTTGCATAATGTAAAAATACTCAAACTAATAGAATGTTAAGCCTTTAAGGGACCTGACTAATCATCTAATCTAGCCATCTCCTTTTGCAGATGAGGAAACTGAGGTCTAGAGAGAGGATGGGACTTGCCCAATGTTACACAAACAAGGGCAGAGCCATTATCAGTAGCAAGGACTCATTATTTCCAATTAAATGTTATCTCCTCTTAACCACATCACATTGAATTATTTATTTATATGGTTTGGTTTTTTTGTTTGTTTTTGTTTGTTTTTGTTTTGTTTTGTTTTTCTTAGTTCCAACCAGATTTCAATAGTACAGAAAATTTTTGATATATAAATTCCCCTGTACCTTATATTCTTGAAGAGGTCCCCAGGGTATTAAGGGTTTAAAAAAAAGTGCCCATGATTATACAGCTAATATGTGGCAATGGTAGAACTTAAGTCTGTTTTCTCATCTTTAGGATGGGTACAAAAATATCTTGCAGAGCCTACTTCACAGTCTGATTGTAAATAAAGCACTTTATAAACCATAAAATTTTATATCAACACTTAGTCAACAATATTTATTATATAAGCATTGAATTATTTTATAGAAATGGAAATCAGACTATATAATAAATCCAGTAGCATATTTCTCCTTTACCTCATTGTGATATGACTGTGACCCCGGGTTCTTAAAATTCTGTGCCCGGTGATCGCAAAGTCTGGCAGTTCTACCAAGTTGGAAAGGCTTCAAATGTCATCAGTAATTGATTATGTATCTTTGATCCCAGGGATCAGCCAAATTTGCCTGAGCACTCAAGGCATGAAGGACTTGTTCAGAGAGAAACCCTCACTGAGAAAAGCATGGATTATTTGAAGTCTTGCATAAATTTAAAAATGCCTTTGCACTTGGAAGGCTACTCTTTCTTTCTCTTCCTCTTAGAATCCCTGACTTTCTTTAAGACTTATCTCAAATAACTTCTGCAGGAGGCTTTTCCTGGTACCCCTTTTCCTCTCACTCAAGTTGCTAGAGCCTTCTCCTGTAGGATATCTCTATAGAATGTCAGCTCCTTAAGGACAGGGGCTATTTTTGCTTTTTATTAACATTGCCATTGCTTAGCACAGAACCTCACATACAGGAAGTGATTAACAAATGCTGTTGATTGCATAACAGTGCTCTCTGTAGCTACATCTACTGGTAATATTTGATATCATCATCATCATTAATCATAAATAAACTTACATCTTGCCTATTTTTCCACATCTTTCACCATCCTTTTGATTTTAGTCCTTCCTACTAACCTTAAGTCTTTTATGGCTATGAGCAAAACAGAATTTTCTGTGTCTGAGGATCAAATATTGCTCTGGTTCTGGCAGAGGTCTATAATTTCCTGAGCATGTACAGGAAAAACAGGGATCTAGCAGAAAGAGGGCAAACACCCTTCCTACTCCACTGCACTCTCACCCCTAGGCATGAGCAGCATGGCTATCAGGTTTTTTAGCATTGGGTTGATTAGCTCCCAAGGATCAGGGGTCAATGCCTTCTGATCCAGGCAACCCCACGGGATTAGGGAAAAGTTTCGATGTTTTCAAAGTCCCAAGAATAAGGACGAGAGTTTTGATATGAAATTGTGTGAGTGAATACCCCAATGCTTCAGATTTAGGCTATGGGCAAATCTCAGATTCTCCATGTCCATTTTACATGTTTCAGAATAAAATGTTAGGCTGGGATGACCAAGGTTGGCAAAGAGAGTGAGTCTAAAGCTTTTCCAATAAAAATAGAAAAATAGTCTCCAGAATGAGGAAGGTGATAGATGATGGGATTCTTCTCCCCTGGGACAGACCACATCTGAAGTATTATGTTCAGCTGTGGCCACTATGATTTTTTTTTACCTTTTTTTAATCTTTAAAAACAAAATGCTTTATTAGAAATGACATTAAACATTGTAAAGTGCTTTTTAAATTCTAAATAATTATTTGTTTTAAATTATTTTAAATATTTTAAACTATTATTTTTTATTGTTGAATTTGGCTTTTACATTGTATTCAGAAGTAGTGTGTTACCCATACTGCAGACCTTCAAGTAATAGCTAGATGACCACTTACTAGGAACATTCTAGAAGGCATTCTTCATAAGAGAGAAGGCAAATGAGGTGGACTCTGAGTTCCCTTTGAACTTCATGATTCCATGAGACAACTAGGATTTGAAATTTTAGAATGAAAAAGGAGCTACCGTGAGACCTGGAGATTATTAGCCTAGAGAAGAGGGTGTTTTAAAATATGTGTATATGTATACATATATATATGTATACATATATATACACACACATATATACATATATATATGTATATATATAAAATTTATTTTTACATTGCCTAGATTTCTATCTGTATCCCTTTTGGTCTCTTTCTACTTCTCCAGAGAGGCATAGAGGAAAAAATAAAAGAGATGAAAAAATCAGCAATATTGCTCAACATATTGAAAAAATCTGAGGTTATTTATAGCAAAGCTCCATATCAATAGACTTTAGCTTTTGCAAAGGTGTTGAGGGAGGTGACTTTTCATATGTCTTCTTATGGACCAATCTCATTTTTTATAATTTTGCAACATTCAGTTTTGATGGTTGGGTGCTTGTTCTTTCTGTTAATATCATTGTGTATGTTGTTTTCTGGGCTCTGCTCACTACACTTTGTGTCTGTTCATGGAAGTTATCTCCTCATGCTCTAAAGTGACTCTCCCATTCACACTGGCAAGACAAGTCCCCAAAGAATAGATGACTGCTTTTTACCTCAGGGTTCTAGTGGATCCTGAGTGGCTGAGGGATGGTTATCTAAGACTGTAAGTCACAAGCCCACACCAGTGTGCTTAACCCCAGTGATTATCCATTGATATCAATGAAGCAGCCTGACTTAGCTCTAAGTAAATAAACAAATATTTATATATTATATATACATATAAATATATTTGTTATAATATTTATGTTATATAATATATTATACATTATATATTATATGCTATATAGCAAATAATATATTATATTGTATACATTATATATTGCATATATACTTACACACATATATATACATACATACACACACACATATATGTATGTATGTATGTATGTATTTGCTAAGTTGGTGAAGTAAAAACATTCGGTATAAAACATTTCCCCAAAAGTCTGGGACATAGACTCTCACAAGTA